GGACCCAACATTTTGCTTTAGCTAGACTGATTACAGATTGCGCAGTAAAATTTCTGGATATGATGTTCGTGAAACCATTGAAACAACCTATAAAATTTGCAATGGTTTGGCTAACTTGCTCCAGTAGTTAATTTATTCTTAAAACGAGAGTTATAATATCAGTAATAATGAATCAGTAGTTTATCAAGAAATATGTATATGGCAAATGCTTTCTTCGAACCATCAACGATTCAGACGTAAGGGCTGAGAATTCCCGAAGCTCCAAACGTAAATTAAACTACTTTCTGTTTTAGGTTCATCAATGTTGTCAAAATTAATTTATAAAATTATGGAGACGCTTACAGTGAAATGTATGTTGCCAATTATATTACAGTCTGAGTACGCTCTGTAAGTGGGGGATATAGTAATAAATTTGGCGCCTATTCGTTCGTTGACGTAGCAGCTGATCATCGATAGTATGCCATCAGTCTTATCGAAATGGAGTTACACATTATGATGATTATTGTACTGAATAATCAGTTATCAGGTAGGTTAAGACATAATGCAGCCACAAGTGGCCTTCGCCTCGGGCAGCCAGGCTGAACGCTTTGCTCATTCTGCCACGACCAGACTAGAATGCTACGCTGTCCTTAATAGCCGCAAGTGACCTGCCTAAAATCTGCTTTTATATTGGTTCAGCAAAGCAACGTTTGGGAAATACCCAAGGGAATTCATGATTAAGACAATGGTTTTCTTTCAGAGGATTGAAGCAAATACGGAAACCAGATTTCCAGCGAACAGTACCACTGTATTACTATATATTCTACTATGAATCGTTTAAAAGAAGCTGCTAACAATTGGCAAAACTATTCAAAGTAGTTTCTGTTGCAGCCAGAAGGAATGAAATTTTTGTAGGCGTTTCCTTTATTCTGATATTAGTTAATTTGTTTGAGATGTATATTATCTGTACATTTCTGAATCATTTTTTGGAATTTTGTACAAGTACTAAGCATGAATACATGTATATCTTTGAAATACGTTTTCAATTTGCACTTCGCTACTGGACTAGTTTTAACGATAAAACTTAAGTTCCTCATTCAAACCTTTATTCTTATACAATATTTCGTTTACTCGCTGTATTGTTGTTTGCTTGTAATTAAAATAAGCGTCAGAAACAGCCGTGCGGCGATTTTCAGATTCCGTATTCGATTCCTAATGATATATCGTTAAATTAATTCTGATTTACAGCATTGCATGATGTAAGAAATTAAGTATGCCATACTTGAAAATCTGTTTAAAATATACTGTATTTGTGATCGCATTGTAGGGTCAGAGATGTTCAAATTGCTAGGGGCTAGTTTTAGCCAGGCGTTGTTTGTTATATAAGTAATGAATCACTGAATCAGCGTCGGATAGGAAAGCATGACGAGGGACAGACTACAAGCACTAAAGGCGGTACGGTTTGGTCTTTTGTTCGGTTGGTAACAGTTTGATCAACGCGGTTGTTTCAGGCGCGCAGTCCCGATGAAGAGAGTGACCTGTCCGTGGACGTTGATTCAGGCAAGTTCATGGAAGAGTTCTTTGAACAGGTAAGAGCTTGATCGGCCACCGATTTCGGTGGGGTAGTTAACTGATGTGACAATGTGATATGGATGATGTGTCGGTGTTCGTGATCGTGTGATCGTAACGTTTCTGGTAGTATGCGGACGGCCGTTAGTCACACGTACGGTGCTATCAGTCATTCATCTATCCATCGTCTCTTCCTCACCTAGGCGTGATTTGCTGTTTCATTCATTGTGTGTCCCGTTCGATCCAAATGTTTTTTTCCGTTTTCCCTCCATGTTTCCCTAGATTCGATCACCTACCCTGCATTTCGCATTTATTGTCTCATACATAAATGACGTTTGTCATTTTTGACAGGAAACAACTGTTTGTTTCGTTTCACATTATTCTTTCGGTTAAAGCGTTACAGATGGTCGGTCACTAGTTTTCCTTCGAATCAATTTTTCAATTTGATCGTCTGGCTTATGTCTCTGTGACATACAGAAAATTGACACTAAGTCAAATTTTGAATAATAAGTTTATGATAAGTTATGACTTTATTCTTTTAAATTTCGGTTTGCTGTGCAGATAATGGATGTAATTCGACAGATTATGCCATGATAGCAAAAGCAGGTCGAAATGACGCCTTGAAAAGAAACAGTGTTTCGAGTGGTTTCGATAGCTCCTTAACTTTAAGCAAATGTTTTAAACCTTTTCTGTTATTGATTTAACAATTATATAAGCATATTAATGGCGTTTCATTCCGAACAATTGGAAATTGCTAGCGAATGTTTCAGGTCGAAACACAAAGCTTACAGCATGTGAAGGGGAAGTTTCATCCTGATGGTCAAATTATCTATTAGTTTTGGCGAAAGTCGATTGCATTTTTTTTCGAACACAAACGGAAAAGAAAAATTTAAAAAACCATAGCCCACCTCAATTAAATAAATATAAAAAATTGATTTATAATTCATCCGAAAGTATTTTACTGTCTGATAGAATTTTACATCGTTATTACGGGTTTGCTAACAAACAGCTGGTCCTCAACATCGCCTGTAAGAATGGCATTCTCATGGAAATCTTTTACGTTTACATGACGTAGCGCACGGTCCTCTTACTTCTAGCAGCCTACGGGACGGTTTAAACGGGTCACGGCTCCATTATATATTGGCATCTGCAATGCATGGGCGTAAAACAGCATCACTTTGCTGGATGGAATAAAAACATGTTTGAACACCAACGAATATACCTCAGCCCGTAGGCATATATACCAAACGTAAACTCCGTTTTGGGTTTATTAACAGGCTGCTTGCTTCCTATGCGATTGATAAGAACAACACTCTCCTGTCATCTTAAGCGCCCCTCCCCCGACCCCAAGCTACTAGAAGCAGGGTGGCGTTGCGCGGCGCCGAATAAACCCGGAGAACTGAAAGAACATTATTTTACTATCGACTGTAACTGTTTCAACTTCTTGAGCAACGAAATTCCATTTTTTCTACATGTTATTCAGCGATTAATACTCCAAACAAAGTTTAACAAAG